TTTTTATTTAATTAAATAATTAAAAAGTAATGAAAGAGATTACGTAAAAATTTATGAAGAAAAATATTCTTATTAAACTGTTTTCATTTTTCGTTTTATAATTGTTCTTTTTTTTTTTCGTGGTACAAATTTTTAATCGAATTATCGATTGCAAACATTTGTTAATTTATTTCTTTTTATTTATATATATATATATATTTTTATTTAATTTAAACACTATCGTTACTTATGCCAAAGCGTAAATATTTGTTTTCAAAAATGAATATTTAAGATTATTTTTGATAATTAACATTCGGTTAAATGATATAATTATAATAATTAATTAATATCATGAATAATAATTAAGATTTTTATTATATAACGGTAATATAAAGTGACAAATTTAATTGACATACACATAATTACAAAGACACAAACACGTACACGTATTTGTATATACATATATATATATATATAGAAATTTGTATTTTTGTAAATAATTTATAAATCAATTTCCATTGAATTGAAATTGGATATCGTGGAGAGAGAGAGAGAGAGGGAGAGAGAGAGAGAGAGAGAGAGAGAAAAGAAAGATTTTTATAAAAAAAAAAAAAAAACTAATACATATAAATATATATATATATATATACGTATAAGTAAATAATTTATTGTGTAAATAATATTTATATTGATTGCGTTGCAAGAGATTATTTTTTTTTAACGAAGAAGGGAATTTTCAATTCTTTATGTTTGCTTTTATTTCAAATTAATTTTTCTAATTCTTTGTTTTTGTCTTTTGTTTTTTATTTTCTTTTCTTTTTATTAACACACATATAATTATTTATAAATTATTATTTCCAAAGAGAATGAAAAGACTGCTATGCATCACATTATATAAAATATTAACCAAATAAGTTTTAATTTATTAAGTTTCAAATATGAATTATTTCAAACTATTATTATTATTATTAATTAATTTAATTAATATTTTTATGATTTTAATTAATATTTAATTAATTTTAACACGCGTGCACAAGAAATTATTTTTAAAAAAAACACACACACAAAAGATTTTTAATTATTTGGGGATTTTACGTTTAGATTTAAACGTTACTTTTTAAATTAGGATTTTAAAAAATATATATATATATATATTTAATTTGTTATAAGCGCTTTTTCTTTAGTAATTTTGTTTAGTAAATTGATTTCTTTAGCATGATATTTAAATGTAAAAAGTAATTTTGATTGGTACGCCTGTCTAGTCGACTTCGTGTGTGGTTTTTAAGAAAGAAAGATAGAAAGAACAAAAAAAAAAAAAAATAGATAGATAGTAAACAAACAAAAACATATCTTGTACAATGTATGAGTGCCAGATTTATATGATCTTAAATAAAATATATATTTTTGGAAAAGATGCATATTGTATTTTTTTAATATCCTATAAATCTGGCCGGTATCCTAAGCCTTTCCAATTCTCGTTCATTTCCGTTGATAATTTTTATTATTCATTTGTTTTTTAACTAAAAAATAAAAACAATTAACACATTAAATTAATTCAATATTGGAAAACAAATAAAAAAAAAAAAACAACAAAAAAAAACAAAAAAAAATATTTAATTATTTTTTTTTATATACATATAAATATTTTTATATATATATATTTTTTTAATATTTTAATATTTTAAAATATAATTTTTAAATATATTTTAAATTATATTTTAATATTTTATTTATTAAATATTATTAAATACTACATTTATTATTATATTTATTAAATATATTTTTGAATATAAATTTTAATATTTTAAATATAGTTTTTTTTTTTTTTTTAAGTATATTTTAAATATAAATTTTAATATTATTTTTAATTTTAATTTAATTATTATTATTAAATTATTTTTAAATATATTTTAAATATAAATTTTAATATCTTAAATATAGTTTTTTTAAATGTATTTTAAATATAGTTTTTTTTTTTTTAATATATTTTAAATATAATAAATATATTTTAAGTATATTTTAAAAAAAATAATTACATATTTTTACAAATATTTAAAAATATAAAATAATAAATTTAAATATTTAATTGTTATAAATTACAAATTTTTAATTCAATAATGAATATTTGTCAATACAATATAAATCATAAATAGTACATAATATATATAAAAATAAAAAAATAAAAAAAAAAGGAATAATCAACGAGAGGAATATAAATAACAATAATATTAAAAATATTCTACTTTATATTCTCTTTTATTTTTTTATATATAAAACACACAAAAAAAAGTAACACTTCTTCATTTATTACTCCCAAACTGTTATTTAATATTCATAATTATTTTGTAATATTTATTTCATATTTTTTTCTCTCCTTTTTTTTTTTTTTGTTAATTATTATCATATTTATTTTTATTTTTTAAATCATCTCACGCGTACATACGAAGAAAAAAAAACCCCCATTTTGTTTCCGCAGGAGACATGCGACAAGAAGACAGAGGTGATGAACGAGGCGGTGGTGGTGGTAAACAACAGCAACAGCAACAACAACAACCCTTACAGAGAATTGGTGGAAAAGTATCAAGCATTGTTAGAAGTCCAGAGATTATCAGCACCACGTAGGAAGAACAGTCTACCACCACCAATGATGGGAGGTGGTGTCATGTCATTGCAAGAAGAACTGGAGATGTCTGGTGAATACAATTGTTTCCAAAATCCATCAGTTGTCGATGACAACGACTTACAACAGCAAGAAGTTGTTGAAATGAAATCATCATTGATCGGTAACAGCAACAACACCATCAACAACGGTATTAGCAATGGTAGTATTGTTGGTAGTAGTACTAGTAATGGTGGTAACACTAACAGTAGTAATGGTAAGCCTGGAAAGGGTGATAACAATAATAAAAAAACATTTTCCGCAACACCAACAGACTTTTCCGAAGCCGAAACTTCGTCGTCAGGTTTTGCAGATGAAACTAGTAATAAAGCAACTCAAACTGATGGTAGACCAGGTTCATTTCTATGTTCAATTGCTGACGGGGAGGATTGCAAATTTAGCATTTACGATGACAACAGTCCATTTGAAAGTAGATTTAGAAAGACACCTGAATACAGGCAAATATTTAGCGAGATATTTGGTGTATTGAAACGTGCAGCTGAAGCTAAGGATGAAGGTGAAAAGTTACCCTTGTTGGATGATCAAACTAATAACACCAGCAGCAGCAATAACGGTAGTAACAACGTTGGTAACAATGGTCAAATTATTTACAACGTTAATAAAGATAATCTTAATGATAGTATAATAAGTATTGGACAGGATGATCAACCTAGTGAAACAACGGACGATAATCAAAGTGTCATGTCATCTGTCATTTCTTCCGTAGTATCAGAACCACCTTACAAAATGCAACAAACACCATTGTCATCGAAAGAATCAACTTTGAAAAAAGAAACACCTAAAAATGATCATTCGCAAACAGATATTGTTAAGGTTAACGATAAAGTATCATTAGAAACAACTAGACACGCAACTAAACTCGATTACATCAGCGTTAACGTACATGTTAAAAAGAGCAGATCATCGTCAGCTAAGAAAAATGCTGCTAGAAAATTAACACTTAACAATCATGAACGTCCTACAACACCAAACGTAGTGTCAACGACCAATCCAACATTCGTACAAACCAAATCAAACAGCGGTGGTAGAAGAAGGTTCAGAGCATTGAAACCAGCTGAACAGGATGGTAGTACTACTAATGTTTGGAATAATACATCAACTTATAATCATCATTTGAAAACGCGAGAATCACCAAATCCAATTAGGAAATCTCAAATTTTCGTTAATCGTAATATTACTGAACAACATAGTCATCATTCCTATGAATATAGCGAATATAAACCTAGTACAGCATCAGAAGAGGTTGCTAAATTGAAACGTCTCGAATTATCTTACGCTGAAGTTCTTAGAATGCCAAACAAGTCCAAAGGGAATCATCATAGAAGTTAAATAAATTATTATTATTATTATTATTATTATTATTATTATTATTATTATTATTATTATTATAATCTTTCGTCAAACACACAAACACACAAAAAGTAAATTAAATAATATAATTAATTAATTAAGAGAAAATAATGGTTTAAAGAAGTGATTTAAAAAAAGTGACATTTCTTTTTCCATATATTATATAATAATAATAATAATAATAATAATATTAATAATAATAATAATAATAATAATAATAATAATAATAAACCAAGTGAGATTATGTTCAAAGGTTCATTAAGTTTAGATATAATTAAATGGAGCGTATTCAAAGAGAATTTTAATTTATTTTCCACATTGTGTAATGGTAACAGTATTGAAAGAAAAGAAAAAACAAACAAACAAACAAAACTCTCTTTTTTAATAATTATTATATTATATTATATTAAATATAGGTACCATTTTGTAAATATATATATTTCGATTGAGATTAAGTAATATAATATATAGTTCTGTCCAATTTAGATTTAAACAAGAAAAAATATAAGAAAACACAAGCGGTTTGTATTAATTTTAAGTATATTTTGTATTTATATTGCCTAATTTTTTTTGTAAAGGTTTCGTATTTTTTTGTTTGGAAAGTTCTCACCAAAATCTCCCCTGCCGACATTAACGCACACATACATGGACTTACAGAATACACACACACATACACAAGAGTTACACTTTTGAAATAATTTATTAATGAACTTTTGTTGGTGGGGGATGAAAACGTGGTGTGAAATGAAAAGGAAGATGAAATTTTTTTTTTACGCTCGAATTATTATTATTATTATTTCTAATGAAATTAATTAATTAACAAAAACAATCCTGTGTCTCTAAAAAAAAAAATAATGCAGAAGTGCTAAAAAAAATTACTAACGTGCCATTCGTAACATCAAATTGTATAATCGTAAAAATTATTAAACAAACAAATAGACACATACACACATACATATATATATATATACAATAATATTTCGACGATAAAGTTTATAGATGTGTGAAGATTAGATTATCTTCGAGATAATCTTTTCGTGCATGAAAGAAAAAAAGAGAGAGAGAGAGAGAGAGAGAGGACTTGCATGTATAAGTGCGGTATGTTTAGCTTTTATATTCAAATAATTCAATAATTAATAAACGGTCTACGATATTATGATCTTCATCAATAATAATAATAATAACATTCACAGTCATCAACGTCATCATCGTCCATCGTCTTGTAATAGAATCTAATAAATTCTTTCTCTGTGCAATTCAATTATACTCTAATTGTCACTGTATTTATTTTTTTGTACAAGAACACCACCAACCCCATTTTGTTATTTTTTCTTTTTTTTTTTTTTTGTAAGAGATTATGATATTAATTTGCTATCAAAAAAAAAAAAAAATAATAATAATGAAAGCATTATTTATTTTTTATTTAAATTAAAATTAAAAAAAAAAAGAAACATTAAGTGTGAAATATTAGGGGGACCAAAAAGTAAGGTCGCTACTACGCGTGTCAAATTTTGACTACGATATTATTAATTTGATATATCAGATAGAAAATGATTTTTGATAACGTGATTAATTAATTTAATTATTGATTAATATAATAAAAAATTTGTTTGAATTTTGAGGTTAAAAAGGTGACATTACTTTTTGGTCCACTTAATATAAAATAAAATGGCCAACCATACAACACAACAACAACGAACAACGAACAACGATAATAATAAAAAGAAGATCAGATAAGATTGTACGTACAATACATATGTTTTTATTTAATTAATTCTTTTTGTTTAGTTTTTTTTTTCTTTTCTCTTTTTTTTCTTGTTTTTTATTATACAATTAAATAGCGCATAATAACTAATATAATATAATATATATTTTGTCTTTCCAAACAAATACCATTTCAAATTTTTAATACACAATTTTATAAGAAATTAATGATCATTGGACTACAATTTAATGATAATTATGAATTTATAAAATAATGAAATATTCTGAACTGATTTGAGTCAAAAACCATGATTTTTAATTCTTTTTTTTTTTTTTTTGATTCACCATGTCTATAAGAAAATTCCAATCAACAACGTATGATTCATTTTGAAATTTCTATTTTTGTTCCTATTATTATTATTATTATTATTATTATTAATATTATTAATATTATTAATATTATTATTTTTCTTTTCCTTGGATTGATTCTTTACTTTTTTTTTTTTTTTGTAATTTTCATTTCTTTCCTTTTTTCCATTTTTTTTTTTTTTTTACTAATTATTATGCTATTATGCTTCATAGCATATTCATTGAAATTGATTTAAAATGAATTTATTTTTAYTTTTATTTCCATGATTTAAGATATATCCTTCTTCTGTTCAATTTAATTAGGAATCGTCGAATAACGCACGATGAACGGCTCCTAAACTTGGTTGAACATAACTTGAACTAACACTTCGTCTCGAACTGTAAAACACAACAAAAACAATATGGCGATAATAAAGTATTTTTTTTTCTTTCTTATTATTATTAGGTGGACAGGAAAGTAATGTCACCTTTTTAATCTCAAAATTCAAACGAATCAACAACCGTAACGATAAAACTCATCAATCAGTTTTTTCTTTTTTTTTTTTTTTTTATTTAAAACATTAGAAATAATTTGACATGCGTAGTAACATTACTTTTAAGTCCTCTTAAGATTAATATTGATTTGTATTATTATTTTATTATCCAATTACAAATAATTACAAATAAAAACTTACTCCGACAATGATCTGACAGCTGGACCAGTTGGATTATTTTTCGGTCTTGGATTGACAAGTAGACATTTCATTGGATGACCATCCAATTGTCTATTGTGATAAGTTTCTACAGCTTTGGTAGCATCCTTTAATGTTTTGTAAATGACTTCGGCAGTACCTGGACGTACCAATCTAGAAACAAGTAATTCCCCGACATCCTCAAACAATTCTTTAATATCCTCTTGTGTCACATTAGCTTGCAAGTTGGATACTACGATTCTATATCCAGTTGATTGGCTTGGTGAATTGGAACCAGTTTTGGGACGTGACAAATGATCCATAGTTTTGGATTTACTTGGCATTGAATCAAGACGCGACTTTATTCCAACATCTCTTTGACATCTCGAATCGTAATATTTCGTATTCATAAAATCTTCAGATATTATAGTCCTAAAATAATAAAATGATCAATGTGAAACATTTAAACAAGAAAATTAGAAAAGACACACACACACAACACATTTTATAATAATTACCTTGATTTTGTACCAAAGGACCAATCTTCCTTGTAAGGAGGAGATACAGTTTTACCCTATAATAATAACAAAAATATTCAATTATTATTTTACAAATGTACAGAAGGGATATTTTAACCTTTTCAATTCGAACGCCGTATATATCCGGCATCCGTGCAATGACTTGTACGTACGAGCGCCGTATATATCCGACATCTGTGACAACATTTCAGTGGACTGGACTACCGAAGTGAAAGGATTAAATATATGTTTGAATTATAGATTCATTTATAAAGATTATTTTAGATTAACTTACCATAAATGGACGTGACATAATTTTGTATTCTCTCATTCTTTCTCTTTCTCTATCGATATCAGATTTACGTGATGGTACAATCCTAGTTACACTGTTACCAGCTGGTTTAACCCACGTATATGGAGATGAAGGTTTAATATTGAACACTGGAGGTGGTGGTGGTGGTGTTGGAGCATAATCGTTGTTGACAGTTCTTCTCAATGGCATAATATCTACTGCATAATCTATAAATTAATAAATAATATATAAACACATATGATTAAGAATTATTATAAACTTGTTAATGAATTAGTTAATAATACCATCACTATAATCCATGGGCATTTCTCCAGGATAATGAGATTCGGATAACGAAGGAGTCCTATAACCTATTGGTCTTGATGGTGATGGCATGTAATTATTTGGTGGCATTACATGTGGCATCATTGGTGGAATTTTATTAGTTGACAATGAAAGTCTTCCATTTCTACCAGTTTTCCTCGATATTCCAGATACTTGAGTTTCTATCCTTTTTAACTGTGATGCTCTTAGTTTGTCTAATTTTAATCTTGCATCACTTTGTTTAGCAATTTCAGCTAATTTGTCTCTAGCATCGGTAAGCTTTTCACGATTCTTTTGTATTATCTTAAATCGTGCATCTGTTAACGTATGTCCTCCTCCTCCACCACCACCATTTCCACCAGCACCACCTCCACCACGACCTCCTCCTCCTCCTCTTATGGAACCGTTTGCTCTAGCTCCTCTGTTGAAGCCTCTACGAGCTCTGTAATTAATTATTTTCATTAACATTAGGTTTTGTTTTTTCAAATTTAAATTGATTGATCAAACTTAAAATGAAACATTTTGATTAACATGATATCTGTCATATTTTATAAATAATGTGAACAAAATAATTGTTTATTTAATTCTGAAATAAACATAGCATTTGTATTAATCATCTAAATGTTTAAGATATGTCATAATCAATTAGAATTTTTAATATGATATATTACTGATGGTACAGACAGGAAAACGATTTTTTTTTTCTCATTCAAAGATATCATTAATCATTATTTAAGGTTAGAAAGTTAATTGATTATTAATACAATATAAAAATTGAAGTTTAATTAATGATTTTGGATGAATTTATTACCCAGTACGATTTCTCATGCCTGATGGTTTAGTTTTTTTAATTATGTCATCTAAACTTAAGCCCATGTCAGCCATACCGCAACAACTGCACTGTACAGATTCAATTTAATCATTAAGCCTACAATTTTATTGATGCGTATCCTCCTTGCGCATTTTCAACAGAAATTTATTCAACAAGGTTAAGCGTCCTTTATGAAATTCCAAAAATTTCCACTAGGTGATCAAACGCTAATTTACTATTGGTCGGAATATAGTTTGATAATTTTTTCTCTTTTGTAGTTACAAAATCTGCCACCAGATGTCAAGTGCTTTTAAAGGAGTGTAACTATCGGGTATCTTAATAAATACAAATAATATAGACGAGTTAAACTTAACAAATATATATTTATTATATAAAATATATAACGTGACTTTTCCATAGAGATATTGTGTAAGTGGAAATGTCTCTGCATGAATATAGCAGCAAAAAACGAAAGGTTGATGTTGTCTCTCTCTAACTCATGCGGTACCGGCGCATGCGCATTAGCTTGTGCTTACGTACACGTATGTATACGATACTAGCTCCCCTTACCTAACTAGCAGACTAATGCGCATGCGCCGCTCAGCGCAAGTTAGAGAGAGAGACAACATCAACCTCCCATGTTCTATCTCATTTTATTTCGCCGACAGGTTTTATGATGGCTTGTCTGCTCTATGTGTAGTATCTCTATGATACAACGTGGTATCTAGCCGACAAGTGAAGTAGAAATTTTGTACAGTCGTGCCAATCATATTTTTCTTAAGTTGGCAGAACTTGCTATGTTGGAAGAACGCATCACCAGAGTCACTAAGTGTGAAGTCTGCCACAGGAGCAGAGAAAATTGTTAAATTATTTCATACTCAATTAAAAGTAATTTTTATTAAAATGTTCCTATCATTAGTATAATTATTAATATTAATATTATATTAGATAATAAAAATTGATAAATTATTCATGTTTCTTAATGTTTAATATATGCGCGTTTGTAGTTACCAAATCTGCCACCAAATATCTCCAATGGCTGGCAAGTCATCTAAAGGAGCAGAAGAATTAAACTTTGATTAAAATTTTCTTCTATGAAATATTAATATCATTGGTATAATAATTATTAATAATATTATATTACATAATAAAAATTATTGATAAAAATTTAAATAATTTATTATTTATACATTTTCAGTAAAAATAAAGTTATGTCAACAGAGGAATCAACGCCCCCAGCTATGGACATAGATACGACCAGCGATAATACTTCGATAGATGACAAAATTGAAGACTTTTGTGAAAATCCAACTCGAGACGCACTAACGGAAGGTTTAATGAGTTTATTAAAACCTACGGTTGATCAACTGGACGAAAGAATTCGTGCTACTAGGTATTATTCATTTGATTTATAATTAATATATATATATATATATATATATATATATATATATATATTTTTTAATTTTTATAACCTATAAAAATTTTTGGTTAAACACTTGAAATAATATTTTGGGATAATTTGTTATAAGAGTAAAAAATATTATCTATTAACTTATCTATTATCTTAAGAGTAATATTTAACTCTTTTGTAGAATCTGCCAAATAGAATTGAAGCAACGTATTGAATCATTGTCAGACGTATTAAATAAAATTAACGAAGCACTTCAATGTCCATTCGAGACTGATTCTTACGTTAAGAAGTTAATTAATGCTAAACAAAAGATAACCGTAGTAAGTAACATTTTGCAAGTTACTCAAGAACGAATAAATAAGCTTCATCAAGCTGTAGAAAAAAATACCTCAAAGAGGAAAGCTTTATTGGATCATAGTTCAATATATAGTAGTAGTAGTAGTAGTACAACTCATGTGGTGGAAGAGAAAGAAGTGGGAACGGAAAATTAAACATATTCTACTCACATAGTTTTTTTATCATATTTTTTTTTCTTTTTTTTTTTTGTTTTATTCGTGTTAATAAGTAATAATTTGTATATTATAAATTTGTAAGTGTAATTTCTTTGAATTTAACAATGGGACCGAACAATATTGAAACTACCGATGATGATACCACAGATATGCAAATGGTCATATATAACATTACCTATGAAGAACGTAATCATATTTATGAACCTCGGGAAGATACTTTTACTTTGATAAATACTTTAGAACAAGACTTAAAAAGAATCAGATTAATGAATGTAGGCATGATTTTAGAAATTGGTAGTGGTAGCGGTGTTGTTATTGCTACATTAGCTAAACAATTAAAGAAAGATAACATTCCATGTTATTACTTAGCTACTGATATAAATCCAGAAGCGTGTAAATTTACGGAAAAAACTGGTCGTAGTAATGTTGTTGATATTAATGTTGTGCAAATGGATTTATTGAATAATATACGTTACAATGAAATGTTTGATATTATTATTTTCAATCCGCCATATGTAGTAACCCCTACCGAAGAAACTACATCTTCAGAATTAATTTATAGAACATGGGCTGGAGGACAAAATGGTAGAGAAGTTATGGAAAAAGCATTTCCATACATTCCTAGATTATTATCAAATATTGGAGTATTTTATTTACTTGTTATCAAAGACAATAATCCAAATTATATCATAGAATCTTTCAGACATTTAGGTATGACTGGTACCATTGTTAAAAAACGAAAAATTATGGGTGAACGTTTGTATGTAATACGTTTTACCAAAGATTCAAATGTTCAATAATAATTTATATATATATTTATAATTATAAACAAATATTTCTTTTTAACACGTTAGAAAAAATGTTATAAATATTTCTTTATAATAATAATTATTATTATTATTATTATTTATCTTATGTTAATCTAAGATCTAATTTTTTATTTTATTGTATTATTATTCTTAGATAATAATTATCATAAAGAAACATTAGTTTATACTTAAAAATTATAATACAATTTACTATGTTTATTATTAGAATATTTATTGGGTATATGCATATATTTAATCATAAGTTACCATATAAAATGGCGTTGAGTCATTTGTGATATGTATGGCTGTTCTAATATATGCTTCTTGTCACGAATAACAACACTAATTTAATGACGTTAGTCAAATCTCTTGCTCTTGTCTTGAATTATAAATTAATACAAAATGTGAACAAAAATTTAATTGATGCTTTTTAATGATCTAATCATTAAAATCATATCATATAATCATTTGCATAATGATATTTCAAAAAATTTTTAACTACGTATCAATTGATTTCGACCTATAAATTCTTTGTAATTTAATGTGCAATGTTGCTGCACTAACGGTCATTAAAATAAGTGTACCTAACATAAGAGAAAATGCAGCATAAAAGCCATTATTACTCATACAAATGTTCTCCTCCTCTTTCGTAACTTCTTTTGCAAATGGTGCTGATGATAAATCAATATTATTATCCAATATTTGATTACTAACCGCACTCAAATCGTCAAGCATAATCACTTTAAAACCACGTCCAACTCTAACTGGATCTGTTAATAAAGGTGCCATTGACATATTTGAAGGTGCATAAGTTGTTACCGAACGACGCCTTCTGCCCGGTTCAATTTGCTACATAAAGAAAAAACATAAAATTTTAATGTATGAAATGTATGTGTGTTGTGTAGTTAAAATTAGGATAAACATATATCAATAAAAGATATTGTTTGTCATATTATTAGGTGGACTGAAAAGTAATGACGCCCTTTTAACATTACAATTCAAACAAACTTTAATGGCCGCACGTGTACGCAGTCAAACGTTGTCAGGGGCCCGGTAATATTTTTCATAAATTAATTTGAAAAAAAACTTTATTGTCATTCACACAAAAAATTAACATAAAACAACAGATTTAATTTTATATATAAAATTATGAATAAAATAATGGCTAATCTTCCTGCTAGGAAAACAGACATGTTGTGTGAGCGGCCATTAAAGTGTTAATTAATTACGTTATCAACAATCTTTTTCTATCTGTTATGCAAAATTTTTTAATTATCTTAACGATAAAAATCATCAATCGATTTTTTAATTTAAAATATAAATAATTTGACATGCGTAGTACTTTTCGGTCCCCCTAATAAAACAATTTTAATGTTTTTATTAATTGTATATTAAATGTCATTTTGATACGTACTTGATTTGATTCCGGACAAGCTTGACAATCCGTTTTACAAAGTTCAACGTTACATTCGATGAATAAATCCATCACGTCGGGAAATTTAAAAGCTTGGAAAAATGCGTAGGCTATAATCGAGGCACCTGTGTTACCAGTGTCATTTGTTTTTTGAAATGCACCAAATAATTTTGGTTTTAGTATACAACCACGTTCATCAGTTAGTTGTAAGACATTCGTTGAACTTTCGTCACGTGCTACGCAATCGCGTACCTAAAAAAATACACACACACACACATCATAATATATTAAATAATTAAAATAAAAACATTAAAATTGTTTTATGTATCTGCGAAACACTTCATTAATAATTTATATATAAATTATTATTGATGATATATTATTTGTGCTATCTATTGGGCAATGTATTAAAATCATATTTAGCAATTTTGATTATTAATTTTAGAAAATTAAGATTAAAAATAATATACATTATTATAAATATAAAAAATTCACCTGAAGATCGAAAGCTGGATCACCTTCCAATGTTACAACCAACGTCATAGTTTCTCCAATTTTGACCAAACCATCAGCTATAGGAGCAAACGGACCTTTACCAATTTGTATATCTAATTTGGCAACAGCAGTATCACCACTGAACGTAACGATTTCCTGATTGAGCATGTCCACGGATAAATTTACCGAAAGAGCCTTATTGATGTTACCTTCCCAAAGGCAACGTACTCTTCTCACAGTATCCCAAACTTCTTGTATACCTGGCTCGTTCTGTAAAGATTTCATTTTGAATGTCTGATAATGGAAGAATGAATATATTCATCACTATTTAAACTATTATCAATATTATTTAAGATAATAAGAAAACAAACCTGCAAGACCAAGACATTTTCAAGATATGCTTGTCCAGCTTCACCCTCGAAATCATTGATGAATTGAGTACCACAAGAATCTAAGCTAACTGTGAAAGAGTATTCGGTTTTTCCGGAATTTTGTTCGACGTATCTACAATCAGGATTCATGAAGAAACCCTAGAAGAGAAAACGAACAAATCATCAAAAACAGATCATTCATTTCATCGTTATTTAATAAACGTACCTTAGAATAAATGACGCCATCGAAAGCACGATTAAATTCAATATTAATCGTCATCATGGTCTTTCCACATTCAACCGATATATTATGAATATGCGGTGGATGTTTGAGGTCATCGTCAGCCTCGGTGCCCATCGTTACGCCTGCACAATTGCGAAAGATAAACAAAATGATGAAAATTGTTAAGAAAAATCAAAAGAAGAATCTCTTACCAGTACCACCACTAGTCGACCCATCTATATTGGATGTTGGATTTGGTGTGGAATAAGTGTACCCAGAAGTACCACCAACGGTACCTGTTGTACCTATTGTGCCTGGTGTTGGGAAACTTGGTCTAGGGGATGGTTGAGAAGCATAACCACCTTGAGAACTGTAAATATTACCAGCACCAGTACCAGTCGATGAGAATCCAGGTCTTTGAGTAGTGTATCCATAAGGTGTTGTCAATCCTGAAGAAGAGGGGTATCCACCCGATGGAGAACCACTTGGAGTACTCGAAGGAAATGCACTGGTTTTAGGTGGTAAATAAGTGGTCGAAAAACCACCAGGTTGAGAAGGATAACCACCAACTGGTTGTGATACTTTGGGTGGCAATGGTGTAGACGTTGGTCTTGGTGTGCTGTTAAAACAAAAGAAAGAAGAAAATTACAAAACATTTGTCTTGTAAGTCTTACATCAGACACAAGAGAATAATTGCATTGTCGATTTAACTCTGAATATCTATTAATACTCTTTCAGAGTCAGTTTATGCAACACTTTGGTTATATTTTCTTCATTCGTATCGCGTGCACCAGGACAATAAAACTTAGAAGAGATAAAATAAGCAAGGTATTGCTCAAGTTTATTAAAAACAATGATTTTCTTGATCTATATAATACCTTGGATTGCTTGATGGAAATCCAGTATACTGTGGTGGTAAATAGGTCGACGAGTATGCTGTTGATGGTGTTGAAGAAGGAAAAGTTCCAGGTCTTGCACTCGTAGAACTAGGATAATTAGAACTGGAACCACCAGTTGTACTTCCAAAAGGAGGGAAAGTTGAGGATCCTGGACCATAGGACGGTTGTGGTCGTGGATTAAATGTGGGAGAACTGCCATAACTGTTTTGTGGTATGTAAGTGGATGATGGACGTAAACTGCTTGGTGAGCCATAAAGTGTATTAGGAGTTGATAAACTATGTGAAGAAGTGTCACTCTCAGAAGATACAGAAAATGAAGAAGGTTCATTAGATGGCGTGTATAGGGATGATGGTCCTTGATAAGGATAATTGGTCACTTCGTTTTGACTCAATGAAAAAGACGATTGTTGTTGTTGTACGTGGTTGTTGGTTGACGGTTGGAAAGGTCGAGGCTTTTCCGGAGGTCTTTGTGTACTATATGGTGGCAGGTACCCATTGTCCGATTGTTGACGAACTGAAAAAACGAGAACGAAACTCATCGAGAACTAAAATACTTTATTTTATTATTACTTCGATAGTATATACATTGGATTGTCTGAAATTGTACTAATTTAAAAAAAATAAAAAAAATAAAATAAAATAAAGAATAATGCAATGAAATATGTTTATATTTCGAAAGGAAACATTATAGTTGAATCAACATAATCGTTGATTTGGATGTTCCATCGTCTTTGTAGAGAGCACCGATTAGTCATGTAGATCGGCACGATGAAATCATTTTCACTAAGATCCAATAATAATATTATTCAATGTTAATTAATACCAAGCAATCGATCATTTCATTTTTTTTTTTTATAATATGTGCATATGTGTACGTGTGTTGAAATGCTTGCGTGCGTTTTTGTACGTGATATTATGAAAATGTGAAATGTATATAAAATAATATGACAAATATATATATATATCTACATTGATAGATAAAGAATAGATATAAAAGTGATGTGGATGTGAGAGTGTAGATGAAATAAGTTAGAAAGATAGAAATAGGTAGGAGGCATAAATGATGATGTGTGAAATTTAGAGAACTCGAACCGAAACTTTTCCTCTCGTTCATCGAAAGGAGAACCTACTTTTACGTGCGCCCTGTCGGTAGATCCCTTGAATCCACTCTAGGATATTTTGTGCCATCACATCTGCAGCCGACGTTGGTGCGGCTCGCTGGACTCTCGACCGTGCTAATGGATTTCAAAGGAATTGTTTTTGTTGGTCAACTTGATTTCTTATTTCTCACACAATTTTCTCCTTCATTTTTTATTTGATTTGATTTTGATTTTGATTTTTTCTTTTGTCGGTTTATGGATTTTATTTATTTATTTTTTTTTTTATTTTTTTTTATTGAATGTCATGAGACACTTGAGTGAACTCTCAAAATGGAGTTCCTCCCGTTAACTTTCTTACCAGCATCGTCGACGTCGTCCGAGGTTCTCACGAACAGGGCATGTCCTATGTATTCTTGACCCATCGTTGTTCCTAGAACACCTACGACGAGAATAATCGTCGTCGTACTACTCCACCACATCTCGTTGTGTTTTCCCTGTTTATATCTAAAAAAAAAAAAAAAAAGAAAAAATTAGAAAAGAAAATGATTCAATGTATTTTCAATTGAATTTTCTTCTTCTTCTTCTTCTTCTGCAAATTGAATTATTCAATTGAATATAATTGAATTATTCAATATGAAGAATAATTCAATTCAATTCAATACAATTCAATTCAATTTGATGATAGAATATAATTGAATGATTTAATATGCAAATTAATTCACACAATTGAAAATACATTGAATAATTTTGTTTGTCTTTATATTTTAAAGATAAATTTCTTATTAGATAATTTATCTATTATTGTGATCTATAAAATGTTATTAAACACGTTCCCTGCCAAAGCCAATTTTGTCCAACTTGTCGTACAGGCCATTTGATTTTCAGCACATTTAATGAATATGTCTACGTGTACCATTTATGATACACATGGCCTGATGGTACCATAAATGTTACACGTAGACATGGAACGTGTTAATTAATCACATATCGTATAGATCAAGATTATTCATTTAATTAGACAATTAATAGTTCGATATAATCCTTAGGACAATTATGTTTTTTTTTTTTTTTGTATTTTAATATAACACATTTTAATGTTTTATTAATTACAAATTAATTATAAATTTCAATAAGAATGTAAATATTTTTTTTATTTTGTATCTATTATTATAATTATGTAATAATAAATATGTGTGTTTGTAATCTGACGAATTTGATTTACTTTTTTATTTTAATTTTTTTTTTTTATAGGTTCAATTGATTTTCATAAATGAATGATTCGTATGTAAATTGAATGACACATACAGACAGATAAGTTTGTAAATGTAAATTAATATTTGATCTACTTTCTGTAAATTGATATTAGGTGCTAATTGTAAAATTAATTAGAAAACTTGTTGATTTAATAGTCTCTTCAATATTTTTTAAGTCTCATTTATTGAATAATAATAATAATAATAATAATATTATTAACAACCAATCACGTAAGGAGCTAATAATCGATACGATAATAATTGATTAGTATTGGTTTCACTTATACATAAACAAAGGATCATCAATTGGAAATGTGAAATGCAAATCTGTATAATCCTTTAATGAGAGCATGCCTAATTGACGTTTCAATATTTCGTGAGGGTTCATTTAACATTAACACTTCAACCTTATTAACAATTTTAAGTTTATTTAGATCATTTGTATATATTATATGAACTAAATAATATAATTGAATATATTAATTGAATAAATTAATTGACTATATTAATATCTAAATTGAATATAAGAATAATAGTTTATATTTTGTAGTTTGTTTTAAATAATAAAAGAATAGAATAATATTTTATAATTTACAATTGTAAATTAAAATAAGGTAAAAAGTGACTCTACATTGAATGTAAAATTGTTGCCCATATTTTGTTTTAAATAATTAAAGAATAGAATAATATTTTATATTTTACAATTGTAAAATCATATATTAAGTGATCTAAATTTGAATATAAATAATAGTTTATATTTTGTAGTTTGTTTTAAATAATAAAACAATATTATTTTATGTTTTACAATTTTAAATTAAAATTAAGTAAAAAGTGATTCTACATTGAATGTAGAATTGTTGCTTATATTTTGTAGTTTATTTTAAATCATAAATAATAAAATAATATTTTTTATATTTTACAATTGTAAAATCACATATTAAATGATCTAAATTTGAATATAACTAATAGTTTATATTTTGTAGTTTGTTTTAAATAATAAAAGAATAATATTTTATATTTTACAATTTTAAATTCAAATTAAGTAAAAAGTGATTCTACATTAAATGTAGAATTGTTGTTCCATGTTTTGTACTTTGTTTTAATTATAAATAAATTTAATAATTACAATTGTTAATTAAAATTAGGTAAAGAATGATTCTACATTGAATTGTTGTCTATATTTTGTATTTTACAATTGTCAAATAAAATTAGGTAAATAATTATTTTACATTGAACGTAGAATTGTTGTTCCATGTTTTGTACTTTGTTTGAAATAATAAATAATAGAATAATATTTTATAATTTACAATTGTCAATTAAAATTAGGTAAAGAATGATTCTATATTGAATTGTTGTCTATATTTTGTATTTTACAATAGTAAAATAAAATTAGGTAAAGAATGATTTTACATTGAACGTAGAATTGTTGTTCCATGTTTTGTACTTTGTTTGAAATAATAAATAATAGAATAATATTGTATAATTTACAATTGTAAATTAAAATTAAGTAAAGAATGATTCTACATGGAATTGTTGTCTATATTTTGTATTTTACACTTGTAAAATAAAATTAGGTAAATAATTATTTTACATTGAACGTAGAATTGTTGTTCCATATTTTGTACTTTGTTTGAAATAATAAATAATAGAATAATATTTTATAATTTACAATTGTAAATTAAAATTAGGTAAAGAATGATTCTACATAGAATTGTTTCCCATATTTTGTATTTTACAATTGTAAAATAAAATGAGTTAAAGAATGATTTTACATTAAATGTAGAATTGTCGTCCATATTCTGAACTTTGTTTTAAATAATAGAATAATATTTTATAATTTACAATTGTAAATTAAAATTAGGTAAAGAATGATTCTACATTGAATTGTTGTTCATATTTTGTATTTTACAATTGTAAAATAAAATTAGGTATAGAATTATTTTACATTGAACGTAGAATTGTTGTCCATATTCTGAACTTTGTTTTAAATAATAGAATAATATTTTATAATTTACAATTGTCAATTAAAATTAGGTAAAGAATAATTCTACATTGAATTGTTGTTCATATTTTGTATTTTACAATTGTAAAATAAAATTAGGTAAATAATTACTTTACATTGAACGTAGAATTGTTGCCCATATTTTATAATTTACAATTGTAAAATAAAATGAGTTAAAGAATGATTCTACATTCAATGTATAATTGTTGCTCATATTTTATAATTTACAATTATAAATTAAAATTACGTAGTAAAAAATGATTCTACATAGAATAGTTGTCCATATTTTATACTTTGTTTTAAATAATAATAAAATAATATTTTATAATTATAAATTAAAATAAAGTAAATAATGAGATTTAACATCGAATAGAATTGTTTTACAATGAAAATTTAATATCGATCATTTGTGGTATACTTTAACACATCAATTAGGTCATGTTACACAGAAAACTATCAATCTTTAATGATCCTAAATTAATTAACTTTGTTTCTATTCAAGCATTTAATTAAATTTAATTGCTTTATTAACTCGTAATATATTTTAATAGTTTATTAAATAAATATAATATTATTAAAAATGTTTCAATGAAATTATTAACGAGTTAATTAAATGAAACTCATTTTTAAGAGACACACACACACACACACACTTCTTACTAAATTATAAACAAACAAACAAAAATATGAAATAAATGTTGAAGATTTAGGACAAATGATTTTCAAGGACCCTGAGGGTAAGACAACAACACAACAATCGTGACTTTTACAAAGTTCGAAAGTAGAAAGCTACAGTTATGAAATCTTAGCTTAGGATCCTTCTCAAGGTTGACGTCAGCATTTCAATTCAACACAAGAAGAAAGGTAAAGAATCAATTTACTTATACACGAAATAATTTCTTCTTAATCTTCAAAAATACTTTTAATCAAAATTAAAAAAAAAAAAAAAAAGGAATCAAATTGTAGAGAAAAATATATTCGATTATGTGTGAGAGAGAGAGAGAGAGAGAGAAAAAAATTAAACGAGGTGTTACTTTGAAAGAGAATCAAGTTAGGATAACCTGTTTTTAATGAGCATCTATCTTGTGAACGAATAAGAGACGAGAATGAACATGAAAATGATGATAATGATGATGATGATGATGATGATGATGATGATGATGATGTGAAATAAAGAGAAAGAGTAGTAGAACTGTAATAAAAATGAGATTGTAAGATTTTATACTTCAAAAGGTGTACTTTGATCTCGAAAGACGAATTGTATGTTAGCAAATTTAGCAAAGTTACATTTTGCATGATAATTCGTTGCAAGATTTATTTCGTAATCATTTTAAATGAAAATTATGGGGATGATGTGATGGGTTTGTGCAAGTTTATGAAATTATAAATGTTATTTTCAAAGTTTATATTCAAATACAAAATGTTCTCAAATTTATTCAAATACAAAATGTTCTCAAATTTATTCAAACGTTTCAATGCTCTAATAATTCTTATATTATACAATATTATAATAATATTTTTTAATTTAATTAATTATATTTGTTATATATTTTTATATTATAAAATATAAAATTATTATTTTATTATTATTATTATATATATAGAATTGTTATATATTATATTTAACAATTATTACTTACAACTTTATATTTTTATATATATTTATTTTTATTATTTAAATTATACTTTATAATTTTAATATTATATAAAAATTATAAAATATAATTTTTATTTTATATAAAAATTATTATATAATAAAAATAAAATTTGTATATAAAATAAAATATGTATAATAACATATAATATTAATATATAATAAATAAAAATATATAATATAAAGAATAAATACCCCCATATAAATATATAGTATAACACATATGGGAGTATATATTATAACACAGATAAATAATAGTAAAATTTGTTTAAACGTTTGAATTTATATATAACACTATACTTGATATATATAATATATAACCCAATATATATATATTA